CAGCTGAACACCTAGAAGTACCCGGTTCAATTCCTGGCTATGCCTCCGTTACAGCAAGTAACGGAAATCCCGCACGTTACCGACCTTTTCGGAACGTTTATCTGGGGCGCCGGCGATTCGCTGGACTAGACCCCGTTTTACTGGTGAAAACGCGACGATCTACGAACAATGGATTCGAGATCGATTGCAAGACCACACGATTGAGACGATCGATAGATCAGACGTGAAGGCCATTCTCAACCCACACGTCGTCGGCAAACGAGTAACACATAATTGCCAATGTCTTTACCCATATACGAACGAGGAGGGTAAGTTCCCTAACATGCAGGCTATTGGGCCAGTTATCGCATGGGCTGCCGGACAACGGGAGATTATGAAGATCGACCTATCGAAGGCATTCCACGCGATCCCAATAGCTGACGACCAGAAGAACTACTACTCGTTCATGGGCACAGACGGTGCTACGTACAGATACGTACGGATGCCAATGGGTGCACCCAAGCACTTCGCCACGGTGATGATGAAAGTTCTTGGGGAGTTGCCTGATATGGATAAGACGCACGTAAGGTCTTACCAAGATGACATTATAGTGGCTGGGACGACCAGAAGAGAATGTGCTGATCGATATCATAGAGTGATCCGCCACCTATGTGACTACGGCTTCAAAATAAACAGAGAGAAGTCGTCGATGAACACTACATTAACGATACTCGGATACGAGTTTACGAAAGGTTCTATTGGCATACCTAAAGCCAAAGCCGAACAAATAAGAAAACTACTCCGTTCGGAATGTATAGATGGTATAACGAGAGCGACGCACCAATTGTCTTATTACAAAATGATCCATAAGACGGGCGTTCGAAACTCGCTTACGAAAATACGACAGATTTTACTTAAGACTAAACATGTAACCAACGTTGTCAAAGACCTGATAGATGCCGTCGACTCAGAATGGACGATAGAACGTACGAAACCTATTCAAGGGAATACGATTACAGTCTACGTCGACGCATCAGATACGCAGGCGGGGATGGTAGTAAAGTATAATGACCAAATAGTGATGACAGAATCGATTCCGCTCACGAAGACGTCGACAAACCTTGCTTCTTACAAGGAAATACAGGGAGCCTATAAGTTGCTCGCCAAGTATAAGTCGGCGATTGACTTCATTGATAGGGGGGCGGAGAAGATTATTGTGACCGATAATATGCGCCTGTGGCAGGCTCTCGAGAGACAAGGAGAACCGAGGAATGACTTAGAAGTCTATGCGGCGCGCATTCAGGCCTTATATAAGGCATCCTACCAACACATCCCTGGGGGCCAGAATCCGGCCGACGAATTTTCAAGGAGACACCGTCTCCCCACGTAAAAATCTTTTTATTTATTCAACATATAAATTTTTCTTCTAAGAAAAGTATTCTTCAATTGAAACTTCTCACTGAACTGTACAGATTGAACCATGGTTGATACTCGCAGCACTATAGATTTACAGAAAGAGGCCTCGACCATCATACAGGAGGCTAATAAGTCCGGTGCAATGGACATCACCCGCATTCAGGCGGTGCCTCCGAAGGTTTGGGGCCAAGTATGTACGGCATTAGATATAGAACGGCTAATCAACTACAACCAGCTGTTGATGCAACCGAAGTATATGAAAGAGCTACAAGAGGTACTCGCTGCCCGAATAGAGGCTGAGAAACCTGCGTTTACTCACAGGAAGATACAAGAAGCCGGCGGGCAGAACCCAGCAGGGAATAGACCACCTACGCTCGATCTAAGCTCGGTAGGCCAGCAAGTACCCATGCTAGAAGAGGTCTACTATAGTGACCATAGTTCTACGCCGAGACTTCATAAGAAGAGACATACGTTAACGACTGATGGCTGGGCCAACATAGACTACCTGATGGGCGACCCGGCTCATATGTTGAGGCAACTACGCGGAGTCCGCATGTCGCCGGAAAAAGCATTCGAGACGCGAAACAAGATCCTGAGAAAGGCGCTAGTGGATGCTGAAATCGACAATACGGATAAGCTGATTATCCGCGTGAATCAACTTATAGACCAAGGCCTTATAACACACGATTTGTCAGTCAATATACTCTTAAGTTGTGCTGTGTACGGGAAAGAAGGGACCATGCGTCGGATCGAGTCAGGCGCAATACTCAAACCAATAAACATCTACAATCTGAGTTCACGAAAGCGACCTGACGAGAGGAAACCGAGAACGCAGAACCAAAGCCCGAACACATACAACAACAGTAACAACAAGAAGAAGAATACGAACTCGTATAACAATCAAAATCGTTTTTTTACAACCGCTTGCGGGGCTCGAACCCGCGACTGCAAGACTAAGAGTCTTGCGCTCTACCGACTGAGCTAAAGCGGCCGCAGCCTCGGGTTCCGTGGCAAG